CATATGCCATATAAATAATGGCATAGAAAAAATTGCTAATGCTAGTGTTGCCCATTTCTTCATAACAGTACCTCTGAGCATATGAAACATTAGTGGCATCCTTTGAGTTAACATACACTATGTTGGATCTCCTATAGACAATCTTTATGCCCATATGGGCAGCAATTTCTATATAGATGGAGCTTAGATGCTGGTTGTATTCCACTACCGTGCATGCTTGGTTAATGTTGTGATCATGAGTTCTGTTTAGTGTTACCTGTGTGTTGGATATGATATGTGCATCTGGTTGATTGAAGTAGATGCAATAAGTTACATATTAGGTCCCTACCATAACCATGCTTTACAGCTATGTTCTCGATGTGCTTCAACTTTGCCACAGTTTCCTCCTGTCAAGTGTGGTGCATGTATACTTGTCTCATTAGTTCACAGAAGGCCACAATCTTATAAGAGAAAGGGTCAGCAGGGTTTGCCAGAATAAATAATGGTACATAACATGGTTTATAGTAAATGCTCGTTTTCACCCAGTTACCATCAAGGAAATGAACATTTGTGTCACTCTTACAACCTAGCTTGATGGTAAGGCCATATGGGTTGTCATTCATGCAACTTACGAAATCATTTACATTCAGCTCATCTTTCCATAGAATAAAAAGGTCATCAACTTAACTCTTGTATACCAGAATGTTCGATAAGAATAGAGATATGAACTTTTGTTCCAATTGCAAGCTACTAAATTGCATAAATCCTGAGAGGGGGCTGCCCACAGGTATGCCCTGTTTTCGTAAGTATGTGAGGCTCCGGACAGGTCCGAACCCTCACTAAAATTCGCGTTAAAATAATTGTTTTAGAGAAAAAATATATATTAATTAGAAATAGATTTTTATTTTATGAAAATGCGACGCTAACTTTTAAACAATAGAAGAATGTAAGTCTGTCAACCATTTCCAGTTGGAGATTGAATTAAACTTCAATTTTGACCTCTCCCGCGCCCCGAAAGGTTTCGAATTGTCATCAGGTGACGAGGAGAGACCAATCAGAAAGGGGAATCTGAGAGAAAATGGATAAAACCCCGAAAATTCAAGGACACGACGGCTTCTTCTCCCGAAAGTTCCAAGTGACAGATCTATTGTGTGTGTCTCATACCCATCTTTGTCTCCATCTCCCAACCTCAGATCGACATCTTTCCATCAACAGAAGTCAACCACATCGTCCTGGAGTCGTCGAGACATGATGGAATGGTTCATTCACAAACAAGGGACACTCCTTCAAAATGGGACTATCTTGGAAAGGAGAGGAAGACCCCAAGGCCGCAGCTGTCGCAGAACTTCCAAGATCGCGGAAATCTTGTAAGCTTCTTTCGTGTTTAATAAACGGTTGTGTTGTTTGTAAACGAAGCATTTATCTCTGACTCAATTGCTTCCACATGTCGTTGATTGTTACCGCTCGGCAGTCCAACAGCAAGGGAGATGATGACGATATATATCACCTATTATCGTTCATTGAGTTTTTTTTATTTCTCCCCCCTTGGCCCCCATAAGTATGTATTGTTACTAAAGCATAAGAAAGACGTATAGCACAAAAGATGTGCTAGCTCCAATACATGTTTATGTTGCGCATTCCCCAGGGCTGCTTAGTAACAGATCCCTAAGTGCACAGAGGCATTGTTATATTTTAATTGAGACAAAATCAAAGACAGTAATAAATGCTCTGTCTGTTACCCTAACTTGCCACAAAATATCAATTAGATCTGTGGAGTTCTTGACATTACAAGGATATCCATTCAAGCGCTCAGATATAAAGTTGTGTACTGTACTGTCAAGCATCCTAGTTTGATATAGTCAGCCAGATCATTTGGTCTTAATGAGGCTCAATTTTTATGAAGGGATATAATGATTCAAAATCACATACTCTGATGTATGCTCCATTGTTAAGTGATAAGTCGTGCAGGCATGCCACACAAGTTTCCAAATTGGTTATTGTATGATGATAGCTGTCAAGGTTGTCTGTTATGAATATAAGAATTCTCTCAATATGTATTGACAGAGAGACAGATTAGTCAATAATTTGATATGGTTGCATGCGAGGTTAATCACAAGGTATCCTTTGATACACAAAACAAGAAAGAAGATAAAACCCACAAGGCCATAAGATACAACGAATAATTCAGAAGCACTTACAGGGAAATAGCAAGGGTTACCAACATCACTATTGTCTACAAACAAAACCACACCATATATTCTTTACTTAGAAATTCTAAAGACAATGATAAATACCACCTTCCTCAAATGTTGTTTATCATCATGTCTATCATTACAGTTTCTGTATTGGGGTTTCTGCATTCTGCATTGCTCTATCTCATAATGGATAATACAGTTGGCCAAAACTAGGAGTGCATAGGAGTGGCTGCTAGCTCCTTATGTTTTTGTCTAAAAGAACACGAGACTTCCATTAAAACAGTCTCACCATCATGATACTAGAAGCCCACAAGGAGATGGCCCATGTGAAGCATTCAGAGAAGCGTGATATATACAAAACCAATAGAAAAGGTACAACCACAAATTATAAGGATGCTGACACCATCTCATAAGCATTTAGATGCTTTTTTGAAGTCACTTAAAAAATTTTTTTGATTTCTGAACAGCCACAATGATTCTCACTGCCTCATCCAATTAATTTCTTGTTTCANAGCAACTGAACAATTGTAGAAAATTCCCCAAGAAGATTATCTATTTATTATTACTAGCTATATTCTTCAATAAAATTTAAAGCACCCACTTTAATCAGGCAGTTTATATTATCTAATGTTGATTTTAAAATTCATGTACAATGCATTAATAAAGTTTTACATTTAATATAAGTACATTCTTATAATTATCCTTATATATACATTGAATTTGTGATAAGCAAACTTTTGTTAATTATCCAGACAAACACTTAATATGAATGAATAATTTTATGATAAAAAAAAAATATTAATTCAGAATTTTCATTTCCAAACCATTAGTTAATTGACATATAAAACATACAAAAAATTTTTATTTGCCTACATATATAGGATGTATTTTTTTTTATTAGAAATCTTTCAAATTCATAATAAATTTTTGCTAAGTTCTTCTAGATTAGAAATCTTTCAAATTCATAATAAATTTTTGCTAAGTTCTTCTAGAAAGCATATATTAAGAGAGCAAAGTAAAAAATAACTTGTTGAGTTTGTTGACTCACATAACTCTCGTAAAGAAGTTAAAATATTTCTTTTTCAATAATTTGAATTACTCAGGCATTTTTGTGTCAATAATAACTACACTAACAAATATTTACACTGAATCAATTTTGTAGAAAGTTCAAGTCTAACTAATTATTTGTCTTAAACTTATGCGTTTTTCATCAGTTCACGATATTTATGGCAGTAACAATTTTAAATCAAAATTGAGGTACACTCACTCAGCACTTGTATGTAAATCAAAAACACAACACCTTAATTTACTGAGAAAAATTTAATGAAAAGCAAACGTTTTCAGCCAAATCTGTTGGCCATCATCAGGCTAAGATATTCGAATATAAACAAAATAGAACAAAAATTTAAATACAAATAAAATAAAATAACAAATGAAGTATATATATAAATGTATAAAGAAAAATAAAATAAAATTTTATTTTTTTTTATACATCTTTATTATTTATTCTTTATCAGATTAAAAGAACACAAATACAATATCAGCAAGGGATCTAATGCCACAATACTATCGCAATTGGCACAACTTGAGGGCTCAATCGTCAAATGGGATGAAGCAAGTATCATTAAACCAGTACATTCACCAAGATTGGCAATTTGTGCCAACAAAATTGAAATATATAAGAGCAGATTGCATGATGCATGCATTAATTCTAGAGATTCGGAAGGGTTGCCTTTGGCCTGGAAATACTTAATCAAATAATTAGAGAGCTCTTAATTTAATGCCTTGATTTTAGTATTTTTTTTGCATATCTTGCATTTGATTGAATTTCATATAATGTATTATTATTATATAACGTTTTAATATTTAATTAACCTATGATATATACAAAACCAATAGAAAAGGTACAACCACAAATTATAAGGATGCTGACACCATCTCATAAGCATTTAGATGCTTTTTTGAAGTCACTTAAAAAATTTTTTTGATTTCTGAACAGCCACAATGATTCTCACTGCCTCATCCAATTAATTTCTTGTTTCAACATTTTCAAATTTTTGTTCAATTTTTGAAGAAAAAAATGAAAAAAATGTTCTTTCTTTAACATTATTATCCAGGTTTTGTATTGTTTATATTTTTGTTCAGTTGTGCATACTTTTATAGGATATAATTAAACTTGATGATGACTGATGAAACCAGTCAAAAACACTAGTTTTCTCGTTAAAATATTGGATTATTGCTGGATTTTCTGGTTTCATATGTGTGTTTTGTTGTTGAAAAAACTTTACTGGAAAAATTAATGCTGTTGAAGTTTTGATACTTTCTGATCATAAAAGACTTTTTAATGAATTCACATTAACCTTTCACACTTTTCCAGTAGTAAAAAATGTTTTAATATCTGAAATTCAAATGTTTTCTGCCTCTAAATGTTTTTGACACTGATCCTTGAATGAGGCTAAAAACGATTGCAGATATGAAAACATTTTTTACTGCTGGAAAAGTATGGACGGTTAATATGAATTCATTTCAGTAATATTTCCGTAATTTAAGACTTTTTAAATTGTATTTTTCTGATTAAATTTGCTGAGTTTTTGTTTCATTTTTAGTGAATTTTGTTTAGTTTATTTACTAGAAGATTCAGTCTAAAACATTGCTAGTTTAAACTATTTTAGAAAATAAATTATTAAATAACTACAAATTTTAAAATTAGTTATAATTTTTGAAAATTATTTCCTTTGAATTATTAAGTTTTTGATAATCCAAAGTTCTCTACATGCTTGTAGCAGTGAAACTTGGTGATATTTTTTCTTTCTATTTGAAATATAGGTTGATGTCACTCACTTGGTTGCAATCAGCAAAAGGGTCATTAGTAAAGAAAATAAATTCTGTACCTAGACAATGCATTTGTGATAATGATAAGAATTGTAATAAGAATATATTTCCTTGTAATTGTGATGTAAAATCAGATCGTTGGTATAATGACAAAGGAGAAATAACAAATTCTGAAGACATTCCTATTACACGTATTTATGTTATTCAGCCTAAAGATTTTCCACATGATGGAGAAGCCCATCTTAGACTGAGTGCACTTCAGTGTATTGAAACAGGTGAGAATATTAATAAATGGTAAATGTACAGTGTATTGTATATTTATTAAAAAAGTTTTTAATAAATTTATTAAAGAATTTATTAAAAAAGTACTTAATTTTATATGATTAGTCAAATTAGAACTACTGGTATTTAAAACAGAGAACAGATATACTTAGAAACTTTATTTTAATAATGTTTTTGAAGTTTTCACATTGTTATTAGTTTATTCTATATTATTTAAAAAAATACTGGTGCTTTGAAACCGTGCTAGTAGTTATTAGTAGTAATTCAAACACAAATTATTATTGTATTTATTTTCAGGCACTTGGCAATTTTTATCATCAAATTTTATTTAGTTGNATATTTGTCATTATATAAAATTATTTATATATATTAATTAATTATATTTATTCATGTTTTTTCAAATTGATTTTTTTTTGTACTAATTTGTTAACCATTTACATGATCCACTTTACATGATGCATTTTCTCTAGAAAATTTGATTTAAGAAAACACCACTGATTAAAAGTTGCTGCTTTTTTAAGCATAGAATTCAAATGCATTAACATTTTGTAGGGAGTTCCATTTAAAATTTTAGTTTGTCTCACCCCTATAGGGGATTGCATAAACATAGTTCTTTTAAAATGTAATGGACCAATATCAGCATATCAGTTTTTTTAATAATTTCTCAATAAATGGCTGTAATATAGATGTAAAAATTTTGAATTATATTTATTGTAAAAAGTTTATAAATTCTATCCCTGAGTAAGTATTAAATTGACAGTAGAACAATACTATTTGCAGAGATTTTTGGCCTGGAAAACAGTGCATCTGGATTTCATGTTAGATAATGGTTTTGAAATTCTTCTGAACAGCCAAAGGTGTTTAGTGATGATTTTAGTAATTTATTCTTTCTGCTGAGTGTGGGTTTGGTTGTTTGGTTATTCTTTGAGACTATAAATGTAAGATCAAAGAACTTGCGTGATAATATAATTGTATCCAATTGATATATGATTGCTGTCTTTATAAAATTTCAAAAAATTATCATTTCCCTTTGTAAACACAGGCTGATGAGAAATAAGTGTTATTGTTTGCAATGCATCACAGAGAATTACTCTGATCTTTTCAATATAGTTGTTGTAAGTCAAGAGTCATCCTGTTGGTTTTGTTTATTAATAGTTTTTGTTACTTAATAGTTAAATATATTTACTGGTTTATATTATTTGTTTTAAATTTTTTATATATATATTTTTTTTTTTACTCTATAAAAAGTTTTATATGCTAAAGTCTATATTATACTCAACATTCAGATAATTGGTATTAAAGTATTTTAATTGATAAACATATATAATTACTTATATTTATCATGATATATTTACTTTTTTCTCCAAATCTCCACACTCGTCAGATTTTTCATTCGGATTGTCATTCAGAAACTCCTCGCTATGCTTCTTAGTTTGATTCATATATTTAAGAAAACCTTCTGTAGTCAAACGTTTTTTATTAACTACCTTCTTTTTTCTATCTCTGAAATCATATGAACATATACATCATATACACAATGTAAATAAGTGAACCATGCAAGCATTTTAATTTTAACATTTCTTTCTTTTTGCATATTATTATTTAAAAAAAAGAAATGTTGAAATTAAAATGCTTGCATAGTTCACTTACTACTACTAATTGATTTGAATGTCTGCGACAACAAAAGCAACTTAATATGGTGCAAGATAATTATCATGTAAGGATTGGTAAAGTGAAATGCAGCAATTGGCCAGAAGAGAGGAGACACAAAGGCTACTGATTATAGAATATAACAAAGTAAATACACAATATATTAAAATACATTTTTGTGGAATAAATGTACAGCATTTAAGAACTATTGCTGCTGTCATTAATTGACACAAAAGAATGGAAATGGAAAAAATGGAAGAATTTTAACTGCCACAATTAGATTTAAATATATTAAAATAATAAATAGAATAAAGAAATAAATCAGTAAATAATAGTTTTGTTTTTCTTATTGCAAAATTAACTCAAAGCTATTTCTGAAAATTTATTGATAATCAATAAAACTATAGTAGTTTTACTGCCTCATATAAAAAAAATATTAATAAAAGTCCTAGGCTTTTCTTAATTTTTCAAACATATCAACTGCCTTCCATTTTGTTGAGCCCCATAATCTAATACTATGGAATTGAAAGAACAGGAACTAAATGGAAACAGGCAGATACTGAAAAATATTTTTTTTAATTTTAGCATATTTGACAAAAGGAAGTTAAACATAAAGTATGGTATGAAAGCAAATTGTCTATCAAAAGAAATTTAAAAAAAATTAAATCACTTTTTATGAAAACTTGATAAATCAAGACAAACCTTCATAAAAAGTGACTTGATATAAAAAATATCAAAGTAAATAAGTACAAGCCATGTGTTGGGACCAATAGATCCAAAGGAAGCAATAAGTAACTTAAAGCTTTAAGCTTTATCATTATTAATTGATAAAAAAGCATTTATATTAAAAACCACTAATATTTGTACATCACAATTAAATAAAAAAAATTTAAAATTCAAACCATTGGATATGGTGATACGATTGTCAGATGAATTTAGATTTTTGCCTTTGTATAATCTGGAAATTTTTCAAAACAAAAATTAAACACTTATGAAGATTGTTTATTCAATGAAAAATACAGACAAAATTTTGAATAGTTTAAAACAACTAAAACTAAATCCTCAATATAAGATAGCTAGTCTAGATACAGTGTCTATGTAACACTCAATGACATGGAATATCATACTAGATACATTAAATGAACTGCAAGAAATGGTTAATTGAATTATGGGTGACTGAAATAAAATGTTTTTGAATCAATAATTTAAAATAACTTTCCTAACTCAAACACTGATGACAAAGACACTATTAAACAATTATTCGTTACAATGCACTTAAGTTTAGTGGTCTCTCCAAGGTCAGTGCTANTTCTGTATACAAAATTATAATATTCTAAAAATTTTATAAATAATGTCAATGAATGTTTGAAAAATTCCAATTTAGAATTTCAAAATTTTGTAGTTTGAAACGTGAAGCATGTTTATAAAATAAACCAAAAACATTTGTTCCTTAAATCCTTTTGCTGGAAAAGTGTGAATATTTTTGATATTACAAATAATGATATTTAAGAACAGAATTTAAATATATATATGATACAAAAGCATGTATTAGATTATATATTTAAACTAAATAATTAGTAACTGGAGGAAGCATAAATAATAATAATTGTAAATTTAATCCCAATGTATCTTATAAGCTTATTTATTTTTCATTATTAAAATTATATATATGCTAAGAAGAGATTCCTATATTAGATACAAAGCAATTGATTATCTATTTTCAGATCTCATTCCCAATGGGAATCATGTACAGGGTATAGGTTTTATTGAAATTAGAAAGCCTTGACAGAATAGAATTTTAAGATTGCCATTTACTAAACTTGTGTGTTAATTTATATAGATAACTAGAGTATTTTTATTAACTATATCTATTTTTGTGTAATATTTAACTCTCTTTTTTTTTAATAAATACTGAGCAGTTATAATTAGAGTTTTATAATTAAATTTCCATTCAGTAATATCTTCAGTAAAACTAAGAGAGACTAGTGAAATTTGAAAGATATTTTGGAATGGGATCTAATCGAGCAATTGAAGTGAAATTTTAATCAATTCATTAGGTCCCCCTCCAGACAATGTCAAATGGGATAAGTTTAATTATAAAAACTGATACTTGACAATTTTTCTTATTATGGTAATGACAAAAGTAATCATCATTCTCGTCAATTATTAGTGAAATGATCTCAAAAGAAACTAATTATAATTTTTTTTTTGATTAATCAAAATTCAAAAATAAGAGCCAAATGCTCAAAGAAATATGTAAACCTATTAATCTTTCAAAAGAGTAAATTGATCCAAATGTCTGAAATTTGGTAAAACAAATATATTTAGGACTGTTTCAAATTCAGAGATTGGAAAATTCTATTTTAAAATAAAATATGGTCTGTGATAAAAATAAAAAACTTAATTACAATATGAATAAAGAAAAAGAAAGGAATTTCTAATAACGATAACACAAATTATTATAAATTTGATATTTGTAGACATTAAGACTTGAGACAAAGGAAAGCATGATATGTCTTTTTTGTCTAATGTTCTGTGTGTAAGTGCCCGTTTGTGACCCTACAACTTCTTTCAACTTACGCCCATGAGTATTCTAGTGGCAGTTATTCTATACAATTATTGTATCTCCAATATATTTTTTTCTCACTTTCCACCTTCTCTTATTTACTGATTTCTTATCCTTTCTAATATGTCTTCTTTCTATTCTCTTACAGTTGTCGTTTTATAGATCAAAAACAAGATATTTTCAATCAAAGCATTACAAATGAATGTTTTTGTTTTCTCTAGGTTTTTATTGCTCTATATCACTTAATTTAAATAGTGCAAAAAGGAGCATCAGCACATTAATCTTTTTTTTATACTTTATTATTTGAGAATTCATTTTCTATTACGACACCAAATATTGCTTCACACTCAACTTTTGATTTTTAAATTTCAAGTGGGATTGAGATCCCAAGGAATTGGTATTTGGTCGTCTGAAAACAGTAAATTCTAGACATATTTATCTGTTGTTGATATTCTTATTCTATTATAGAAATACAAAGTACTTAAATTTAAAGCTTATTTTATTTAAAAGCTTTTTGCTTTTTTTTAAATAAAAAAGCCAACAAAACATCTTAGGTAAATATTTAAAAATTTTAAAAAGACATTTTACATACTTTCCTTTTCCCACCTGCACATATTTTTCGTCTTCAAGTCTAGAAAGTATGGAGTTGGCCACACAGGAATCCACATGGAGTTGACGAATTAAGAAAGTGCAGTTAATTGTTGTGGATTTGCTGGCAATCACCAGAGCTTGACGCCAAAGGCAAAGAGTCTTAATAAAAAAAATTTTCAAATTTATTCTTTTAGATATTTTGTATGAAGTTTAGATAAAAATTAATAAAAACAAAGAAATATTTTTAAGTTGATTAGATATATATGAGGGCTGTTCGGAAATGTTTGTGGCCTCAAATAGAACAACAAACAAAATAATGTTAAAACTTTTATTTTTCAATGCAGTTAATTTTGTTAGCAATGCACTTATTCCAGCGATGTTCTAGCTTTTTTATTCCATCACAATAGGTCGATTTGTCAAGGTGTNTATATAATTATTAAATATTAATAATTATTTCTGCAAATAATTATTAAATAATTATTTGCAGAAAATATATATATATTTTTTCTGCAAACATTATTGAGTAACTTGTATAATTATTAATCATCATTTATTTATTTATTTTAAATATTTTAGAAAATTGCATGCTCTCACAATTATTGTGATAATAAATAATAGTAATTACTAACATTCAGTTCTGATAATTAAAGAAAACCAAAAGAAACAAAAAACAACAACACCTTAAGTTGCTGAGAAAATTTAATAAATGTAGCAAACATATTCGAATGTAAACATTCGAATATGTTTGCTACGTTTAACCTGATGATGGCCAACAGGTTTGGCTGAAAACGTTTGTTACATTTATTAAATTTTCTCAGCAACTTAAGGTGTTGTGCTTTTTTTGATTTACATATTGCTGAGTGAATTTACTTCAATGCAAACAAAAGATTTGACGTATGTTTGGCATAAAACGAGAGCCTCTTATAATAGTCAGTTTGATTTATACAAATTGACAACAATGCTGGTTTCAAATTTCCCCCCAAAAAATCTTTTCCGTAATGTATAGGATATTTTTTGCAAATGCTAATTACAAATATTTTTTCATGCCTGGTGGTAGCACTAGTAATGCTAGTAACATTGCTTTAATGGTCATGCTAAGCAGTGTTGGATTGTTTAAAATGGCAAAATATTGTGTGAACAGTAAAGTGAAGTTATTGTGTAATAACAAGAACAGAAAAACAACTGTGTGAAATAAAAAGAAATTAGTGAATTCAAATGTCCGTGTTGTCGAGAAATCAAGTCAATCCATAACTTTAAAAGGTAAAATGGAAGGTGGTTGAGGCCAGCCTAGTGTTTGTGGGGATTATGAATTTTCTTCCGTCGACTGTAATAATGATGGTGAAGAATGCAGAGAAAATAGAAAGTTTAATGGAGCAAGTTACCAGAGTAAGTGCAATGCAAGTTGTTTTCATGGTAAATTAGTAGAACAAGAGGAGAGGTTATTAACATTGTGGGTAGAAGATTTGAACTGGAAAAATATTCCATTGAATCAAACTATTATTTGTGATTAGGCTAAATTTATTTTGAAGAGTTGATAAAGAAAGGTGTAGAAGAAACATTTGTACATAGTAAGAGCCATTGTACAGTACATATTTTGTATTAGTAAAAAATTTCAGTACTAAGCATGTTTTTATTTGAAAAAAATACTTTGATTCGTGAATGCATCCCTATTTATTCCATAATAAAATAGATTTATTTTGTATCTGTTTTGTTTATGCCATCTTCTCCAGGAATGCATCACTGGAGTAAAATGAGGGTATAAAGAGACAAAAGATTAGAACTGGCATTTGTAATGATAGAACATGAAGACAATTTTATTTATATATTTTAAAAGTTTAGAAGTTTGTTTGATATATATATATTAACATTTTCAAAGAGTCTGGCTCATCTTTTATCCTGTTATTAACAATTTTAAATATGATGATGTAAAACTGTTATTCTTAATTCAAAACAACCAAAATGTGAAAATCAAAATTAACTTAGATTATATTATAGCAACATTTAGTGGATAATTTTATCAATGGGGCACTACTTCAAATGTATATTATCACTAGCACTCTGATGGAGTTGATGACCTGAGCATTTACTTAATAGAATAGAATAAACCTTAAACCCATTGAGAATCTTTTGGTGAAATGGATTGTCAAATGCCTGAAAGAAGAAACTACTTCAGAGACAAAGTGAACTGAACAATTCTTAAAATGAATAATAAAAACTTTACTAAAGTATATAAACATCTCTCAAAATCCAATTCATTAGTATAAAGCCATACCAAATTAATGATAAATGGAAATTGTTTAGTAAACTAAAATCATACTTTCTTATGCCTTTTTAAAATATGTTGATGTATCTATTCAATTTAGTTTAGGCAATGAAAATGTATTTGGAATTCAAAGATGACATGCACATGCTTTCAATATTGCATTAATATCTATTTAGTTTGTCTTTTGGCATTACACTACTATAATTCAATGGTTTGTTTTTATGGCTTTCATAAAAATTTCATAATTAATTTTTGGATATATTCTTTAAATTCTTATTACAGATTCATGTCTCAGACTATTTACTGGATAACTATTAATCTGTAAAATTTCATTAATACAGTAAGACCCCACTTAATGTGGGGATGTGTTCCTAGACAACAAAACACTATGCAAAACAGTGTTAAACAAGGTCATTTTAACATAGAGTAAATAGGGATAGGGGAACACGCAACCAAAAATAAACAAATTTTACTTTAATTTTAAGTTATATTATTATACAAATTAATATAAAAATATGTTAAATAACACACAAACAGGCACACAGAAAAGTTAATTTTTTGTGATGAAGGTCCTGACTTTATTGCAAGAGAACAAGAATTTCAGAAAAGTTGTGAAGTTTCATTTGTTGCTTTTTTCTTTCCTTAAGCAAACGTCAGTAGCAGATGATCTCATCCAAAATGCTTCATTTTGCTTTTGCACTCCTTTCAAAATCTGGATCATTCGCTACAATTTGATTAATGATTTCGGTTATCTTACCAAACTTTTACTAAGGAAATCTGTGGAGAAATTTTCTGGGTTCTTTGTTTTCAGAATCTCTATTTTCCAGTTCAACATGAATTCCATGTTCTGCCAGTTGTCATTGTCGGTAAGGCTCTTGTCAGAAACCTGCTGTAACTCCTCAATATCCTGCTCGTCTACATCTCCTAGTCCTGCTGTATCGATTAGGTTGAGTTTGTTCAACCTAATTATACAGCGATGGGCTCTTCTCGTCGGATACCTTTAGCCATAACTTCTTCCACACTTCGTTCATGCATTTATCAGTTAATTCTTGCCAAGCAAAGTCAATATTTCCTATGGCATCCAAGATGTTATATTTTTTCCAAAATTGCACCAAACATAGATTTAAAGAAAGTACACCTTTTTTGCCACCTTTTGTTGATTGGTTCTTGTTCACAAATAATCATATTATATACGAATCAATGAAATGCCGTGATAATTTAAATCTGTATAAATTTGAACTTTTTTTAGGCTTTGAGCAGACTCAGCATTAAGCAGAGTTTTGCTGTAGTTTATTTGTAAAGATTTCTAAAAATTAATAAGACAGACAGTATATATTTTTTACTGTCTTCATTTACTGTAAAACCTTGATTTAATGGACAAAATTTCCATTAAATCCAAAGTCCATTACCTTCAGTACTTAAAACGTATATTCTTCAAATCATTGATTATTTTGAATTTCTTATCTTAATCATAGTTCAGCTATATTTAGTTTATAGAAAATCAAATAGTGTTAAAAGATTATATCTCATACTTTGACAGTTTGTTGACAAGATTTTCTAAATAATCTTATCTAGACAAAATCATAGCAGTACAATGTAAGAGAAATGGTATTATAATAGAATTAATGCAAATAAAATGGTAATTGTAAAATTAGAAAAGATTCATTCATCTATTTTATTTTTGCAGAATGACCAGCATGCAGCATAAAAATCCCAGGGTTACCAGCATGCCATTAAATTGTGACTAAAATATTTTTCATGTTTAACAACTAGTTTTCTTAGATATAATGTTATATAAAATTAATTATAATTTGACAGACATAAAATCAGGAAGTGTGTTTTCCTTTACAAGACAATAAAACAATTAACAACTTATTGACATTACTGCTACTACTACTACTAATACACTTAATACTAATAATAATTATTATTATTAAGCTACATTGACCATCTACCCTGACTTAAAAATAATACCTTCCCCTCACATTTACATTCACTTTGGTTGTAAATAAGTTCAACTTAAATTTCACATGCTTATTTTACACCACTAGAAAGAAGACAAAATGAGTAAATTATATAAAAAAAATACAATTATGCATTTAAATGCTGACAGTTTCAGTTTTAGAAAATAAAAATGTTCCTTTTAACCTGACGTAATGCTTTCATTTTTTTTTAACGCACCATCTAAAGAGGGATGTATAACCTCACTTAAACTGGCATTTCCTCCAGGATAAACCTGTATGCCAGTTTTTTCCATATGAAAATATCTGACATCCTAGTTTCCCTCGGACAGACTGGCATGTCGGTCATTCCGTGAAAATACAATAATAGTAAGTGTAGTACTGTACAAAGAAGCAATGTAATTAAATAAATCTTTCTGGAATCGAAAGCCATTATACTGTTACATTTCCATATTATTTATTCCAACATAATACACATCTATAGTTAGGAATCTAATTTTTAAATTATATTTATTTGAGTAAAATATTAAATATTTAATTGTTAAATAATATATATATATATATGTGAACTCCAAACAAAGTATTTGGTAAGAAATTTTATGTTCCTACTATATCATATTTTATCATTATCATTAAACTATATCTCATTTTCTTTCATTTGGTAATGTTTCAGTTAGCAATATACATTTTATCAACAAAATATTTAAAAGTACCTGTAACTCGATAGGTTTTAAACGTGAGAGATAGGCATCCGTAGGAGGTCTGTCCGAGTTCAAAGACTGACAGTTTTCACAGAGGTGTTCTTTGGGTATTTGACTTTCATCCAGGATCCCAAAACATATAGCGTGTTGCCTCTTGTTGCATGATACACAGGATAACATCAGAGGATCTTCCTGAATATCAAAAGTATCAAAATATTATAAATTACAGTACTGAAACATGATACGGTAAACATTATTTTGAGCTTTCAATTAATTTAATATATCAATACTTTTATTTATTTGTTGAAACTGTGTCGTCGTCGTCTTGTTTTGTTTGGTTCAATGTCACGACTTGGTGAATTTATTGACACCTGGCAAATAATTTGGTCATCAGCTGTTAATCCGTACAGATATGCATTTCAGGCATTCGCCCCTCTTCAGTCTGTTACAGACATTGAACCAAATATCAGTAGAATAGTACAGTAGAGCATCAATTATCTGACCCCCGATTAACCATCACATCGGTTAACCGACCGTTCTAGTCGGCAAATTTCAAATGTTCGCTAGTGATGTGGCACTACAATATTTGGCTATGTCTTGGCTACCTTAATATAATTTTTGTTAAATTTTTGTGTTTTACCTGGCAACCCGGCTCGACCATTGAAGGGATGCCAGTATTTAAATGAGACTTAATTTTCTAATTATGAGTGGTGGTTCGTTTTGTGAACAATAAAATAATTTTAAAATAATTTTTAACGATACAATAGCGATGATTATTATTTAAAAAAAAAATTGTTAGGCTTAGCATCGATGAAAATTCAACACAAAGTTGGTTAATAGCGATATACTAATTACATGGGATATACTAATATACTATACTAATAATGTATTTTTTTCATTCTTTTTGGTTATCTGATTTTTTCAGTTATCCGACCAACCTGAGTCCCCAATTGAGTAGGATAATCAATGCTCTACTGTACTTTTTACAATAATGCAATGCTAGTTGAAAAAATTTTTCCTTGCCTTATTTTTTTGTTTCTTTTCTTTATTAAATGAAAATTGTTTTCTTAGTAATTGTTGATTATTGATTTTTAAAGAATATTTTTGAAAATAATTACACATACACACTTTCTTGTAACTGAGGGGCTAGGTGGAAAAATGGCACATATCCCATAAAACTACAAAAGTTATTAATAAATCTGTATTTGTGCATTGTTGATCAGTCTTCTAAGAAATTTTCACAGTTCAGTTGTACAGTACATCCCACAGGTTACTCCAGCATTAGTAAAATGTTGCATATTGAAATACTGGTGAATTAAAATACTAATCCTCTCTTTTGCAAAAACTTCCTAAGGTGAGATATGCTATTTTTCCATCAAGCCCCTCACTTATACAAAAATGTTAATCAGTAAATTCACGCAACATTATGTATATTTATATTTTTAAAATCAATGAATATATTTTTTTAATTTTCAAAATCATAACATACACACAAATTGTGTAAATTTATTGATTTAAAGTTAAATTATAAATAACAAATCTCATTAAATATGAACAAAATTGTAAGGTTTGGCTTCCAGAACTATAAATTTAAAGGAAAACCATGCTTTAGAATGGAAAAAAAGCTTTTTTTTCTCAAAAATCACTTCCTTAAGGTAACACTTTTTTAGGCTAATTCACTGAACTGCTGTAAAAATTTTAATAATCTCATTTATCTTTTGATATGGGTTTGATTTTGGGGAGTGTGATGTAATTGACAGGAAATAAATCAAGGAAAACATAGTAGTGTGTAATCTGCATACATCTGTACTGCTAAAAAAATTTCTTAAATTACCAATTATTATGTATAGTGAATTTATTTGGTAAACTCAATTTAATACTGTTAATTCATTGTATGACTTAGAATCACTCACAAAATGTTTACTCTGCTATCCATTTATAAAGTTTGAACTCTTGTTGGACATTCATGCATTTGTTGTCTCAGAATAACCTCTGTATTTAAAAGTAATGTCTGACATTTTTTTTTCAAGACTAGAGTATTAACCCAAATGTTGTGTCTTTACACACACCATCAGAAGATAGAATAAGATAGAGTAATTCTTCTTGCATGACTAACATAATTTCTTTATATCTAGATTTTGTCAAACCGTGGATATGAGAAGCAAACAGCTATTATCAAATTCCTGACCAAAGAAGGATGTACTGCTGCTGACATCTACAAGAGGCTCAGAAATGTGTATGGTGAGGCAACAATTGATGTGAGTATGCAGAGATGGATAAAAAAGTTTAAAGAAGATAAAACTGCAAGTTGGAAAGTCATTGATGGCAGTCGTCGATAAAAACCAAAACAGGGTGGACGATGTGATTTGTATACACTAGTATATCACTCTCTAAGAGATTACTGAAAAAAATGGCTGTGATCACAGTGCTGTCCAGCAGATTAGCCATAACCTGGGATACTGGAAAATGTGCCAAGTGAATTCCTCATCATTTTACATCTCGTCAGTGGTATCATATCTCCCTTAGAGCTCTGATCTTGCACCCACAGTAAAAAAACAAGGGTCAGAATAAAGGAAAGCCTTCAGAGATGGTGCTTTGATGGCACAGGGAAAGCACAAGATGTTATCTAATGCTGGGAGAAAAACTCCGAAGATTTTTTTCCAAAGTGGCTTTGACAATTGGGTTCAAAAATGATAAATAAGAGTAATAACTATTTTATATAGTAAAATAGTTATTACTCTATACATGTATATAGTTGCACATCTCTCATATGTCATTATTTTCAGTATAACCTATGTACCATCATAACTAATTATGTTTCTGAGCAGTTTGAAATATTCTCAAATGACAGATACATTGAATTTTATGTCAATCCAAATGTTTCAGTTACATTTTTATCTAACATGTAACCAAAAAAGTTTGTGCAGTTTTCTAAAACAAAATTAAATCATAAAACAAGGGTATTTTTCTCTGAAAAATAAATACCATCACAATTAAGAACTTTTTCCCAATGAGAAACAAGTTAAAGAATTTTGTAAGAGTAAAATATATAACCTTTTTAGAAGCAAAAATCCTTATTCCTCTTGATTTTGAAATTGTTATGCATATGATTGTCAAGTGACAAGAAAATCAGATGGTGAGAGGTCTGATGAATATGGTGAGTTGGGTAGAATTTCCCCAGTCATTCTTGAAATGTAAAATTTTGCATTATTTTGAAGAAACACAATATCTTTGCAATTAATCAGTGCTGGCTGTTTTTGGAAATGCTTCTCGTGCATGCATTGCAGACAAGCAGAGTAAACTTTTCCTGTGATTTGTTTAGTTTGAAGATAAGAGGTCATAATGAACAATATCTTGTGGCTATAAGCCATAATATATTTCAAGTTTAGTTTGTAGTCTTTGTTCTTTCTTCCTTCTAGAACTTTCTAAAGGAAAGGTGCTAATCTTAATTCTTCCCTCTTGGAGGTGGGGGCCACTTTCTAAAATCAAAACAATGTTTCCAGAAGGCACATGTGGGAAGAAAGTCACTTTTTGGCTGATTCTTGTACAGAGGATGAACAGGAGAATTGGGAGAGTTGTTGAGTACCTGAGAGATGGATAAAGCCAAATTGGAGGAAGAGAGATGCCTGAACTTCTTGGACCAACATTAAAGTCGGTTTCTGAACTTGATGAATTTCAAGCTCATACAAACGACCAATGACTTGGACTAAAAATTTATAGAAATTCTCTTGGACTGAAGAAAGGAGAACAGAAGTAAGAATCGTGCCCAGGGAAGTTACCACATGGTCCCTCACAGCAACAGAAAAATTTTTGTACAACCTGGGTTCTCCATTCTGTTCTGTCCTCCACTTTCCTGTAGTTTAAGTTAGTTTTAAGGATTACTTATTACTAATCTCTAGTTATTTTTACAAATCATGATGTTTTGTAATTATCCAGTTGACGTTTGGGTTAGGGTGGCTGCTGGTTACATCTCCCTAGAGTTGGAATCCATTTGAACCTATATCTTCTATATTATACAAAAATAAATTCAATTTTTTTACAGTGCTATGTATGTATTTTTATTCTTTTTTTGGGTGTTTGTCTTAGTCAGCTAACGGGACCCTTTCTTAATTACCACAACCTGCATATTTTAATGTGGAAGGTAACCAATGATAAGATCACTTGTTGTTAGTACATAATCCATTTTTCATTGTAAGTCAGTAGTTTGTCCAAAAACAGTTTGCTTTTTGTGATTAGTATTTGTTTTCTGCTGTGAGTTCATGTGAAATCCATCCATTTATACCAAATCTGTCTCAATAGCTCTTTAATTTGTTGTTATCAATGTCATTTGCCATCCTTCATGGGAAGCATCTATAAAAGAGACATCTGATGAAAATTTTTATATCATTTTTGTGCTGGGCAATCACTAACCATCTCTTCTCTGAATGCTGTGCATATCTTTCTGGAAGCTTATACAGACAGCATTTGCCCAAGTTTAAATTCATAGTGTGTCAAACTTCCTTCTGTTAGATGATCAGACAGTTCCTGGAGTTTCCCACAGTAACAAGAGAATGCTCCTGGACTGAGTATTTTTTTATCATGTGCACAGTGACAAAAGATCAAGACCTCACAATCGAATCTTCCCACTTCTTGAGGATAACATATGACAAAATCCTTTTCAAAATTCCCAGCTAGCACAAATGACACCTCTGAATAAAAATTGAGATTTATAGTAATTACTAATGATAAAAGTTTTTTATTCTTATATAAAAGTTGTCATATTAAATTTTGTTTTGTCTTTTAATGGAACTCTGTTCTGAAACTTAATTAACATTGAATTAACATAATATAAAAATTTATACATTCATCTATAAAGTATTTTATGCTTTACATTTTTCTCTCTACTTTAATCAAATGTTAGAAATTTCAAAATATATTGTTATACTTAAAAATAAATACCTGTAGCTGATTGTCAATTCTTCAGTGGACACATGGATTACATATATAATTTGCCATGTTTCTTTTATGAATACTTCTTTATCAAGAGAAGTTACAAATGCAGTTCCTTCAGATGTTGATATTTCAATGTTTTAGCTGGCTTTCTGTTTTGGAATTTCTCATTTAATTGCCAATAATGTTTGTTTATCCAACCAAACTCTGATGGTTTACAGTTACATTCTTAGGCTGTTATAATTCATATATATATTTAGGTTGGGGAAAAAGAAATCCATTATTTTGTTGCTAGATGGCTTTAGTGATATATATCTTGTAAAGTATTGATGAAACAAGTTCAGACTTGTGGTTGTTGGAAAAGTGACATTCCATACTAAAAAAAATTCTCTTACAGTTTTTTGATTGGTCGATTCAGTTGTGAGTTATAGGGTGTAAAAGATGGAAGTTAACAATTAGGTATGTTTTACAATTTTGCTTCGATAAAGGCGAAAATGCAAGCCAGGCAGCTGAAATTGTGAATGGTGTTTATGGTCTCAATACTGTCACAGCCAATTATGTGTAATTTTGGTTTTGTCGATTCCATTCTGGTAATTTTGATGTTAAAGATGCACCTCACACAGGTAAGCCCATTGTCGAAAATGTCAATAAAATCATGGAAATGATTGAAGTAGACAGGAATGTTAGCAGTTGTAGTATCGCCCAGGAGCTAAAGATTGACCACAAAACAGTTTTAAATCATCTGCATAAAGCTGGATTCAAAAAGAAGCTCATGTTTGCGTGCCACATGAATTGACACAAAAAACATAATGGGTTGAATTTCTTGGCCAAACAGGATTAAATCAACCTATTTCTTAAATGGATGATGACTGGGGATGAGAAATGGGTTACATACAATAATATTGTGCAAAAACAATCATGGTCAAAGTGTGGTGAAGCAGCTCAAATTTAACGGCCAGGAAGGTTTTGCTGTGCATTTGATAGGACTGGAAAGGAATCATCTTCTATGAGCTGCTTCCATATGGCCAAACACTAAATTTGGACCTCTACTGTCAACAATTGGACCATTTGAAGCTAGCGATTGACCAGAATTGGCCAAGAGGAGAGGTGCTGTGTTTCATCAAGACAACGCCAGGCCACACACGTCTATAGTGACTCGCCAGAAACTCAGGAAGCTTGGTTGAAAAGTTTTGATGCAATTACCATCTTTTTTATCATTGCAAAACTTCCTTAGTGATAAGAAATTGACATCAAGAGAAGATTGTAAAAATCACTTAGTTGAGTTTTTCACCAATAGGGACCAGGTCTTCTACGAGAGAAGCATTATGAAATTACCTTTAAAATGGCAACAAATTATAAAACAAAACGGTGCATTTTTGACACAAGTCGGACAATCCAAACCATGTTAAATAAAGTCTTGAAATAAACATAAAAATAATGGATTTCTTTTTCCAAATATTATGTGGTTTAAAATCAATAATATTCTCTTTCTAATATTTTTAAAAATTATAGAGAGAACTGTAGATGAATGCAGACAATTATGGCAAGAACTATATTAGTCAATGTCATAATTTACTGTGTATTACTCTTGGTTAAAGATTTATGTTTTTGGTGAAAAAAGATACGGTAGTTGGACATAGGTGAAGGGATGAAGAATGCTTACCAATACCCAGATAGAGAGACCCATCAGTATGTCACCGAGCCAGTTGGTAACTTTTTCTAGCTATGACCATTGGCAATTGTGTTCATCCTTCAGTTTTGAATTTATAATTGCATATTAAAGAAAAAGTATTATTATGATGATAATTCTTCTATTTTTTATAGTTTGCATAACAATATTGTAACGTGGTATAAAAGGAGAAATATTAACTGAAAAGGAATTTAGTATTACAACACAACATATTCGTGAAATAAACTTAACGTTAATTTTAATTAAATAAAATTTTGAAAATTTAAGACTATACAAATAATGAGTCCTTTTTCCTATTTATATCCTTTTTTAATTCCAATCCAGGAACCACAAACAGCAGGCGACTTGAAGTAAAACTTCTAAAAACAGACAAATACTATCAAAAATTCCCAATTAAAAATGATCTGGACATTGACCCTTTCTTGTAGGCTACAACATCTACAAACATTAAAAATAAATTCTTCATAACACTTTTGTAATCACATTGAAGCTGAGAGTCCTCTGGCGGCTCAGAATTATTTACATAATTGTACATATTAGCCCTCATTTTTTGTATAGTCTTAAATTTTCAAAATAACTATAATAATGTGGCGTAGTAAACACTAGTATTGTGTTTTATTCCAAAGACACATGGCAAATTTTCCATCAAATTCCTTTAATAGTTGAGTCGATACGGTACATTGTTTTGTATTCGTTTCGGGCTTTGCCCCTCTTCAGTCAACTAAAATACAATATATATATTTTAACTTAATACAGTAGAGAATTTACATAAAACAATGAGTACATAAACCATATATAGACCTTTTGGTTACACTTTGTATAATTTAAAAACATGTAAAATCTGCTTTAAAGTATAACCAAAAGGTACATCTATATATGGTTTATGTACTCTTTGTTTTATGTAAATTCTCTACTGTAATAAGTTAAAATATATATATTGTATTTTAGTTGACTGAAGAGGGGCAAAGCCCGAAACGAGTAAAAAACAATGTACCGTATCAACTAATAAAGGAATTTGATGGAAAATTTGCCATGTGTCTTTGGAATAAAACACAATACTAGTGTTTACTACACCACAAATATATAACAGGACACGTTTTCAAAAAGAAAATCAACAAATCTACAGAACTATAATAATCCTGGGCTAATATGTACATTAATAAACTTTTCTAGATTACATATAACAAATTTTATTCAAAGTTTAATATCAAATTTTAAAATAAAATTCAAAAACTGCTATTGCTTTTATCTTCACGAATGTGTGTGTATTATTTGATTAATGTGAAAATATAAAATAAATTTGAAGACAGTCTGTCCAAGAGGAACCACCATTTGTCTTCAAATTTATTTTTACATAATTGCCATCTGACAAAATTTTACAATAAAATATTTTCTCTAAAAGTTTACCTTTGTAAGTCCACAGGGACATTGAACTTCATCCAGCTTGCTAGACTTGGATTTACAACTTTCATTCTCTTAAAACATATTAAAATTATAAATGTTAGAAATTTATGGGATAGAATAAAAAGCATTTAAATGACATTTTAATTTTAATAACTTCCAACTGCTTATTGAAGTGAACATGAATAATCAACAGATAAGATACAGTAAAAACCATGTTCAAAAAAGAATCTGAATAAAATGGAAACTTTCTTCAATACTGAGCAATTTTCCTTGTTTAGAAAAACCATGTTCAAAACAAACTTGACAAACAAGAAAGTGTTCAGTACTGTGCAATTCCTGTTTATATAGGTTTACTGTACTTGCCTTATCTAATCTTTTTTGATGTAAAGTCTATCTTCAGAGCAAGTTGGAAGTTATGAATATACAGTAGTCAAATTTGTTTGGACTTGATAATTTCAATAAATACAAAAACACAAAAGTTCACAAATTTTATATAAAAATTAAAAGTTCAATGTTTTAATGTAAAAGTTTTCTTTAAACTATGTATTAAAAAATTATAACTTTAAGAAATGGTCAATGCTGTTAAATCTCATCAATATATAAATGATCAATGTTGAAACTAAAACAATTTGACAGAAATAAAATAAATGAATATTATACAGGGTGTAATTAAAAATTAATTCTTTAAAGTCCACAGTTTATAAGTCAAAGCATTGTCAAGTATAATTCCAATGGAGATGTTAGTAATGACTCAGACTGGCAACACGAATGGTTAAAATGACAGTTATTACATTTACAAATGATGGCAAGATAAGAAAAATGGTCTTGCAAAGAAATTTCAGCAGTTAACTTTTAGGGACCTAAAAAGTTCCACCTATAGGAATTCATGGTTTTTATTGCAACACTTTAACTTAAGCGAGACATTATTTTCCTTCATGACGATGCCAGCTTATAAAAGATATGTTGAATGGCAGATTTGCTGCAGATATTTCAAGAAATTGTTCTTCCCATACAGTCCTTACATAGATCTGATCCTGTAAGATTCTCATCTTACTGATTTGTGTCTGAGGAAGGAAATAGATACAAATCATTAACACATTACACATTTATTCATTATATATTATGAGGACAGAACAGGACCAAAAGGAAGAGGAGCTGTGTTTCTGAGCTTGTATATTTGGCAGCCAAGACCTTGCGCACTGTGATTGCCACACCCTTTACAGCCATGGAGAGACACAACATGACAGATCCATTCTATCTCATATTTTTCACATTTGAAAGAAACCATTCACTTTTTTTATTGAAATGATGAGAGTGTAAGCTGAGAGTGATTCCTGTCCTTGTTACTGCATAGCTGCAGCACTAGAGACAATCAACATCTTCAAATGATTTCTATGTTGAGATAGGGATTTATCTGCAAGCAATATGCTATGTATGTTTTTACTTTTGTAATAGAAGCATTTGTCTGTGTTATATGCTTTGTAATGTTACTTTTTGATTACCCTGTGTATATTTGATTGTTAGTTTTTATAGAAATAAAATTATTATAGATTTCTTTATTTTGACAGACTTACCATTTTTTCTTGAACTTCGTAACTGCATTGGTTCGTTCTTTTTGTCTTCTTTGAAGTCGTCATAACTATCTTGGATCTAAACAAGACACATTTTAAATATGTTTTTTTGAAAATAATTAAAATAACATAAGTAAACACTGTAACAATTATTATTATAAAATATTCATATAATAAATAAGATGTTTCTAATTAATAAATGTATATTCTAATTTTTCTATTGAATTAACACTTTGGTCTACGGACGAGTCTTTCTCATCAAGCCAGTTTTCTTCTATACAAAAGACAAACGATGTGTCTTGGTTGTTCTCAGTGTTGTGTGTTATTCTATGAGCTGGAAACTTAAGACTCATCTATGGCCAATACAGGAACTATGGTACATTTAGTAAAAGATCATTTCCACCACTAGGTGGCACACATTAATATTTTGATGTTTGTAAAATGGCTGTTTGTGTAGAAAGTGATTGGTCAATGAGGCTTTGTATTTAATTAATAATAATCCAAGGTCAGAAATACATAGTTCTGATGCCAAAATCAAAAATATGAATTGAATTTAAACTCCATCAATGTAAACCATATTGTAAAAGACTTTTTTTTTATCTAAAAGAAAATGACATGTTTAAAAAAATTAGAATAAAATTTTTTCTTTTTATGATTATTCTGTAAATTGTGTCATGTTAACAAAAGCACAAAGAAACAAATCCCAAATTTTCATGATGTAATTATTATTGGTTCTTATTTTATGATTTTTTGAAAATAATCAAAAACTCCAGTCTGCATCTTCAAACTGGAAATTTCTTTTAGTAGCCTACAGGTTATCTACATGTTGTATTTTGGTTTATGAATAATGAATTTAGAAGGACTTGGGGGTAAAGATACTACATAGATATCTGTGCATCCAATGTGTAGTTTAATACAAGATTTGTGCAAAAATTTATTGTCTGTAGATAAGTGTATCATGAGATTTTAAGAACAAGATTAATAAATCTACCAAATTTTTTTGAAATTAGTGCACTAATCAGGTCTAATCTTAACAGTGAAACATGGTCACTAATTATGGATTTAAAATACTTGTTAATTCTGTGATTTATCTAATCATCCATTGGAAAAATAGGCATAAATGTTTTTCCAGAAAAGAACTTGAGATTTTATTATGTATGTAAACCTCCAGGGGATAACCCACACCGAATTGCCCCTTGAATTAGTACCTTTCTTTGTTGTGTTCCTTTGTCTCTGGGCAGTCATGCATTAGCTGTGGTGACACTTAGACCTGGAGGCACAAAGTTACGTTTGTATTATCACAAGGTTAATTATATACGTTAACAAGAGTCGTTTATTTTATGGACATAACAGAGTTGTAACTGGTATTTGATAGAGTTGGAGCAACAGGTGTATTCACACTTTACTAGTCTCTTGAAGAACAATTTTGAACCTGAAAGGGTCATGCGATACAGCCAGTATGTAGAATGGGTAGTGCTCAGACTTTTGGTATACTCTAGTAATCAAACTTCCTTTCCTAAGAGTGATTAACAAGTCTTACAAATATTTCCAACATAGAAATATTAAGTGATTTTGTAGATGGTTTACTGCCAAGAGGATTCACACTAATTAGTGCTACTAAATTTATGTTCTAAAGTGATTGATGATAGCTAAGCCATTTTAGTTGAGGCTGCTGCATGAGAATCATTAATGAATATTATTTTCTTTCTGTAAGAATTCTTTTCTTGCAGATCTTATCCTTCCACAAGAAGCCGAGTACAGGAGCCTCCCTAGGTGGATTGTTCCAAAATTGTTAATGAGGTTACTACAATTAAGTTAGATATTCCACATTTGAAATGCATAAATGAAGACTGCAGCTGCTGATAAACTGTAATTTCCAAAACAGAGACTGAACTCTCTCTTTCCTATAAATATGATGGATATCCTTTATATCAAAGATAGATTGGAAATAATCTCTTGATAACGAGCACCAAGTTCAGCGTTAATACAATATTTCTTGTATCACAAGTACTTTCGACGAGTATAAATTTTTTTTTGTTTCTTCTAATTTTATGTCATGACTTGGTGCATTTATAGACACTTGGCAAATAATTTCATCAATGCCAAGTGTCGATAAATGCACCAAGTCGTGACATAGAATTAGAAGAAACAAGAAGAAGAAGAAGAAGACACAGTTTCGACAAATAAATAAAACAAGAGTATAAATTTGTCGTCCTCAAGTGAAAAAGAACAACATAAAGAAAAGAGCATGCAATGTGTTCCAAGGAGAACAGAAATTCTTAAAATTTTAACTCAAACATCCAGTAATACCATTATTAATTATCTATCTCTACCCTTGGTTTTCTAACACATCAGACATTTCTATTCCTGACCGCCGCATCAACGTCCTCATCAACCATGCAAGAACCAACTCTTTGCTTACAAACCACTTTCTTTATACCCGCAACATCGGCACCACTGACCAGTGCAAATACTGCCCAAACAAAACAGATACAACCATACACCGCCTCAATGAGTGTTCAAAATTCGATATCATCAGGGGAAGAATCCTCTCCAAAAACCAGCCTAACAAAAACTCGTCATCTCAATATCAGCGACTGCCTCCAATTAAACCCGAAAGACATTTGCCTTCAATCTTTATCGATCTTTTCTAATGAATACAAAAATACTTACAACTACTAAATCAATTTAACCTTTTCTCATCTCTCATTTTGTCTGCCAATCGTCAACAAACAGTTAACTCATCCACCCCCCTTTTTTTCGACGTTGCTCATTCAGTGTCCTAAACCACCAATGACTCCACAGCCCCTTGTGCATTCTCCCACAATCCCTCCACATGTGTACTGATTTTATCAAACATTTCTTCTAGACCTTTCAAGTTATTCAACTTCAGGTCACCATCTGTTTCTCAATCCAACTCCACTCACCTGGAATAACAACTACACAGGGACAACGTAGCTGACGCCTAACTTCACCACCAGAGGGCAGCAAGCAAGTACTTGTGATACAAGAAATGTTGTATTAACGCTGAACTAAGTGCTCATTATCAAGAAATTATACAACTTTTGGCGTAAGTTTTTAAATTACTCTATCTTTACATTGGAAATATTGGAAATCATGGACAATTTCCAAATCTCTGTTTTGGTGATGGATGGAATTCTGCAATAATTTAATAATATGTATGTTTTTAAGAAAATTAGCAGATAAGTTGTGGACTTTACAATAGATCTTTGTCTATTGTAAGGTCCACAACTTAATGTGTGCTAATTTTAACATGTCCACACGAGTATATTTTAGTCATTACACAAATATTTGTGCCCAAATGCAACTCTATATTAAACGCAAATTAATATGGATTTAAAATAAAGCTGACATATTTGTGATTATTTAGGTAGGCCTACTGTATTAACAATTATTATTTTTACCAAAATCAGGCAACAGGCTACATTGGCAACATTTAGAATGTCATATTTTGTGATCTCGATCAATTGCAATAGTGAAGAAGTATGGACCTAAAATGCCACTTTTAAATAGCAACTTTGAAAAAGGAATGGAAGGAATTCCATTTTATTAGTAAGAACCCATACTTTAAAATGACAATAAAAAGCTCTGTGAAAACATCCTGACTATTAGAGAGATACTGTAATACTTTGGAGTAGCAAATGGCCTAGTTCCACAATGGACTCAAACCTTGGAGAAATTACAAATTTCAGGATTTCTACATCCTTCAATTAATCTTCTACTATAATGAATTTGCTTAGTTGAGTTTCTCTGTTTTTAAAAAGCAACTTGATCGGATTTAAGTAGAAATAGTAAATAGGATTCAACTTTTAATCAACATTCTGGTAAAAACTTTTCTAACAAATAAACGAATATCTATGCTTAAAGTAACACAAAACGACTTCCAACAACCTAACATTTCGTTGAGTAATTACAATCCACGAAAACCTTTTTGTATGAGTGTTATGTCTTTAACTAAGACATAACACTCGTACAAAAAGGTTTTTGTGGATTGTATGCTTAAAGTTTTTAACAATAAAAATTTTTAAGACAAAAATAGATAACTTACAATGAAAGAATTTTTGCTCAATGTTTTTTCTGTCTACCTTCTTTTTTTGATGGATTCTCATTTTGTCTCCACTTCTTCCAATGAGATTTTCAGTTTTTCAGTTTCCCAAACTTCAGTCTAATCAAGTACTCTGATGCATGCTCAGTAAATACTTTTTCTCCCCTCTTTTGCTTTTCCTTTATAGATAAGATGAGTTTTGGTTTTCATGTCTTTTGTCCCTCTGACAAGGTATTTAGAGTCTTCTCCTTTCAGATAGGAGGCTAAAATAGATTCCCCTCCCTCTTTTAAAGCTATTTCCTTTTGAATAGACAGGAGAAAGGGAGAATCTCCATTTCTGTCCAAAAAAGGAAATATTCATATTTTCCAAAGGGTAACTTTTGGTTCTGAAAAGCTCCTCTGCTTGTAAGAAAAAGAATTCCCACTAACAAAGACTTCAATGGGGACCAATATAGCCTATTTGGTCTCTGATTCAGTCTAAACTAATTTACTGATTTCAGGTATAAATGGAAGTTTTTCTTCTGATAAAATTCTCAACTGAATCCAATACAAAAAGCTTCACGTCTCCAAAGTATGCCATTTCATTCAGATAGCCATAGATTCAGCAATGTTAAAGTATCTAGTAGGATTATATTTTTCCACAATTGGATATTTTCCCTAAATGCAGTAAAAATCTGTTATCAGTAATTTCCTTGCCTTCCATTTATACCATATTTCAAATGTGAAGATTTTGCCTAAAGTTTGTACATGAAGAATATCCAAACATTAGATTTCCTGCTTTTACCATTGGTGAGATCACTATGTAAACTGAATTTTGTGAAGAGAACTGCTGATCATTGGATTTCACTTCTTCTCGATATCAGGAGAGAACTGTTCTTATACAAACACAAACAGAAAAACATTGCTTACCATTGTTTCATATCTTTATATAAATAATGTCATCTTGGTCTTGGTTCAGCAGTAGCAGTGACATCAATGCCACTGCTGAAGCTGAAGTGATCTGGGCATCACTT